CAGTGGGGAGTGTGCAGGAGGCAGCTGATTGATGTTTCTCTCTCATCGATGTTTCTAACTCTCTATCCCTCTCCCTTCCTCTCTGTAAAGAATCAGTAAAATGTGTTTAAAACACAAACAAAAAAACATCATTCATTGATTTGCAAATTCTTACATTTGCAAAATTAAATGTTGCCTGATTAAAGTTCACAAATAATATAAAGAGAAAAGAAGGTGAAAAAATTCAACAGATCAAGAACCATAGTGGACCAATTCAAATTTACTACCCAGCTATTTTAGGAATAAAGATGTTGTGACTCTATACCACGGAAGAGGATCTCCAGAGGCAGGTACAGGCAAGTCTATTTGAAAAAGTTTCACAGATTATTTCAATCGTAAAACCAGAATTGATGACTACTACTGTAGACAATCTCATCTTTGCCCTGGCTTTATTTACCATCTGTCATCTCTCCCTAACTTACTACCAACACCCACTGTTACTACTTCTGACCCTGGTGTAAAACCCATTCTCGCCGAAACCGGTTTGGCTCAGTGGATAGAGCGTCGGCCTGCGGACTGAGAGGTCCCAGGTTCGATTCCGGTCAAGGGCATGTACCTGGGTTGCGGGCACATCCCCAGTGGGAGATGTGCAGGAGGCAGCTGATCGATGTTTCTCTCTATCGATGTTTCTAACTCTCTATCTCTCTCCCTTTCTCTCTGTAAAAAATCAATAAAATATATTTAAAAAAAAAAAAAAACCATTCTCTACAACAGCCAGAGTAACCTTTAAAATAATGTAAATTAGATCACCTCACTTCCCACTGCACTTACATAAACTTCTTACCCTGGAATATAAAGCCCTGCACTGACTCCTGCCTCTCTTACCAAAGCTCGAACCATTCTTACCCTTACCTACTCTGCTACTGCAACACTGGACTTTTTTCTTTTCTCCTCACACCAGCACCTTTCCCATCTTAAGGTCTTTGCACTGGCAATTCCTTCATGTAGATCTTCCCTCTGATCATTACTTGGTTTGCTCCTCCTTATCACTTATATTTCAGTTTAATGTTCCTCCTCAAGGAAGTCTTTCTCCAATCAGCCTAGAATCATTTACTATCTCAAAACCATTTAAATATTTTCTAAATAGCACATATCACTATTGGAAACTAATTTACACACATCCTTACCTTTTTTATTTTCATTTTTATTTTTTTTGTTAACCCTCTCCAGAGGATTTTTTTCCTGATTTTTCAGAGAGAGTAGAAGGGAGGGAAGCAGAGAAGGGGGGGGGGGGGGGGAGGGGGAGAGAGGGAGAGAGAGAGAGAGAGAGAGAGAGAGAGAGAGAGAGAGAGAGAGAGAGAGAGAGAGAGAGAGATAAACATCGAAGTGAGACACATCGACTGGTTGTCTCCCACATGTGCCCTGACCAGGGGCCAGGGATCAAACCTGCAACCCAGGTACATGCCGTTAACCAGGAATCAAACCCGTGACCCTTCAGTCCACACCCAATGCTCTAACCATTGGGGACATAGTTACCTTTTTAAAAATAATGTGTATCTCCCTTCCATTAGAATAAAATTTCTATGAGATCAAGTCTGCTTGTTTACTGCCATAGCTCCACAAGTGCCTACACTGTAATCCAAATGCCTACTTGATTGACATCTCCACCTGAATGTCTTAAAGGCAACTGCATATATCCCCTAATAGAATTTAGGATCTCCATACCTCCTAAAATATCTGGACCTATCAGCTTATGTTTCTGGCGTAAGTGAATAGCAATACCCCACAGTAGCATAAACCAGATATTTAGGGGCCATCCTTGATACTTCCTTTTCCAAGTCCTATTGTAAATTTGTCTTTTATATATACTGAACACATCCACTCTGTCCCCCTCTCTTCCAACATCACTACCCCATCCACTGTCTAAATTACCATTTTTCACCTGAATTACCCAACTAGTCTACTCATTTCTGGCATCCCTCCAATCCATTTGCTCCACTGCAGCTATATGATCTATTCAAATACAATCTGATTTTATCACTTTCCTATTAATATTCTTTAAGTCGCCTGTTCTAGATTCTCTGGCTCCATTTCTCACCACTTCCCCATCCAATCGTCCATCGATTCATTCAATAAATATATACTTAGTACCCACTGACAGGCTGATACAAAATGGACAAAGGTCCTGATTTCATGAAGCTTATAATCTAATAGGGGAGGTTATCGCCAAAGAAATCAACAAATACTAAGCTATAATCACATAGTAGTAAGTACTAAAATGAAGAATAAAGCAGGATACATTCATACAATAACTGTTCACCATAGAGCATAATAAAAAACTGCGGACACAGTTTTGGGTTGTCTCAATAATGAGAAGATGCTACTGGGGGACTCAGTGGGTGGAGTCCAGGGATGTTGACTGTCCTGCAATCCAGGACAGTCCCACACACAAAGTGCTGTTCTCATCCCATGACACTTTCCCATTTCCATGTAGGTGAAAACCTGCTTATAATTATCTACATCCTAAGTCTATTTTACATACAAACATAAAGAAGTTTCATGTGATTTTAATATACAGATTTCCCAGAAATGGAACTATCTTATAAAGTGAGGGAAGATTATATACTTTGTTTAGTTTACAACTTTACTAAGTTTGCATTTTCAGTTGTCCCATTAATGATACTATGTGTGTAAGCATCTAACTCCTTCAGTATATCTTTATTAGTAGAGTTGTGCCTGGGCATTCACATTAAATATATATTGATTTATTATAAATTACTTTCACTTATTTCTTTGTCATTTACAATTAGGGTATTCATTTAACTTAATTATACATATTGGATGGTAATATGCACTAATTCATTCATTTGAAAAATATTTATTGAGCACCTACTTATTATGTTCTAATCACTATTCTAAGTACATCAGATACATTGGTGGGAAAAAAATATCCTAACATAACTGTAATAAGTAAATGTTTTAGTCTGTTAGAAGAAAAAGTAGACTAGGTAAGATGGGTTGGGAATACTGAATAGAGTGAGTGTATAGGATGCAAAATTAAAAAGGGTGGCCACTAGTCCTCATTGGGAAGGTGAAAGATGAGCAAAGCCCTGAGGTAAATTAGACAGTCAAGTGCAAAAAGAGCAAAGGTCTTAAGCTAGGCACATATATGGCATTACTGAGGAACATTAAGGAGACCAGTGTGTCCATACTACTTCCTAAATATCTCTTCTATTTCTGGATTGTAATAACTTCTGTTTAAGTCTGTTCAAAGACTAGACTATAAATTCCACTAAGTCAGAGACCATGTTTTCTCCTCTTAACATCACCAAAGCTACACAGAGTATCAGATACACAGCAGACACCTACTAGCTGTATGAAGAAAATAAGTGATGAGGCAACTGATACCTGAAGCTCAGAAAAATAAGACTAGAACTAGAAGCCAGAAAAGAATTAAATGACTGAAATGATAGCATAATAAAGTCAAAAGAAAACTAAACTGAAATATAGACAAATCCCAAAGGTAAAAGTATTAAGCTATAATTGTATTTAAAGTAACAAAATAAATTTAAATAAAAATCTCATAAGTAACTAAATTTGCATTCATTCCATCTGGCTTTTAATAAAACATATTATGCAATATAATTTACTTGTAGGTTCAGATCCAGATTTCTTACTAAAACGCTTTATCTGCTATAGACTAAATATTCTTGTACTAAATCATATGCATAAAGCTACTAACACAGTGGTAAAGTTGATTTTAACAAATCAGACTTCAAGGCTGATAGAGTTTAAAGACAATTTAGAGACTACCTACTCCAAGTATCTCATCTCAGAGATGACAAGTTGAGGACTAGAGAATTGAAAGGATCTATCAAAGTTCAGAGTGATATACTTGCTAGGTTTAATATTCTGTTATGAGTAGATACCAAAATGATTTATATGACTATTTAAACATTAAAAGAAATACTATGACTACCATAGTACTTCAAGGAAAATGATAGGATCAATGTCTACTGTATTTCTGGGCTAGGTAAAAATAAAATCATTTTTATATTCTGTATTTAAAATAACAGCCAGCCTGAGCATCGACCCATGAACCAGGAGGTCACAGTTCAATTCCCGGTCAGGGTACATGCCAGGATTACGGGCTCAATTCCCAATGTGGGGCATGCAGGAGGCTGCCAATCGATGATTCACTCTCATCACTGATGTTTCTGTCTCTCCCTCTCCCTTCCTCTCTCTAAAATCAATAAAAAATATTTTTAAAAATTAAAAAAAAAATGAAATTCCATTTAAGAAAAATCTAAATAGCCAAAAATAAAATATATATATACATACACACCAAGCAACCAGAATGCCGGAACGACTGGAACGATCAGTTGCTTTGATGCGAACTGCACCCTGATCAGCCCCCCACCCTAATCAGGGGTGGGGGCCAGCCGACCAACTGCCTGCAGCCCCTCCCCCTAGCTGGCCACGGACCCAACCCCCCTACCCAGCCCCACCCTCAATCACCCCCCCCACCCCAATCGAGGGCAGGGCCAGCCGGCCAAACTCCCACATCCCCTCCCCCCACCAGCCCAGCCCCGATAGGCTCCAATCAGGGCAGGCTGGCAGGACCCCACCAGAGCACGAATTCGTGCACTGAGCCTCTAGTTAATAATAAAAAGAACTAAGAATTTGCTCTGTTTTTTTCCACTTAACAGTAAATATTGGCATTAGTTCCCGGTGTCCCTAAAACTAACACATTCCCCCAAATAATATCAAAAATCCGTATCTAATTATTCTTAAGTTGTCTCATTAATCAAATAAAATTAAGATGAAGGAAATTTCCACTAATAGGACAGGGATTTTTTTTTATAATCAATATTGATATGATTACAAACTATACTTTGCACACTTAAAGATAAAGAATTATTAGTCCACTGTTTCAACATATTAAGTCTTGAATCACTAATCTGAAATTAATTAAAGAAAAAAATCTTAGAGCATTAAAACCCCACACCTGAAAGACTTACCATTTTATCTAGATGTTCAATGGATCTATAAATCTCCCCCTGGGATTCATCATAGTAACTGTAACGGAACCTTTGACCTTGAAACAAATATCATGTACAAAATAAAATAGGGAAAAATTAGAAGCTAAAAAGAACGCAATCGCTTACCAAATAATTTCAGTTCTCAAGGAAGGCAAAGCACAGCTTAAGCCTCTGAGAAAATCATTCCCAAGAGCCCTTGGTATATAAAAATAAAAGGCATATTTGGGAAGGTAGTAAAGAGATTATATATCACCAGTGTTTTATAATGTTAAAACTATTTCAAATTGTAAAACCTTATAGCAATACAAAAGGCTAAGGAAACAAAACAGCTTAAAAGTTAGAAGCATTGTTAAATATATTATATCAGTCTAAAATGGAGAGTAAACCCAAAGAGTATGATGCAAGAAATTCTGGTTTAAGAAAACTCTCAATGTAACAAGTCAATGAAAGCTTAGCTTTTGCTGTACAAATGAAAGATTTGATCTCTATTACAGAAAAAAAAATAAAGTGTAGATCAGAGATACATGTGGTTTGTGTGATTTTTATTACCTCAAAAAATTTTATCTCATTTTCGCAAAACTTTCTACTTGGAAAAGGATCAATAGAAGTGCCTTAAAATAGAATTCACAACACAACAGTCCTAATCTGACAATAAGATCTCAATAAGGGTGCAAGCACAGAACATTCGACGGTTAGCCATTCTCCAGAGGGTAAAATAGAAGAAGCTCAAAAAGAAGATAGAAAACGAAAGACTGAGGAGATAAACTTTGCTTCCTACTAAAGTCAGAAGAAAACCTAAAACAATGTGTTCTAAACCCACATAATTGTGGAGTATCATTATACTGATTATGTTGCATCTAAATCTTTATTTCAGCAACACTCTTATTTCCAAGAACTCATTACTTTTCTATTTCTTTATTTTAAAAGATTTACAAAATGCATTTTAGAAAATATCACAGCACACCAATCATGTATGCACACACTATGTGTCTTGTGCTTCATTTTCAGATCAAGTTCACATATCCAATTATTATTCTCACACCTGAGAAGACAGATTTCTTAGACTGGATAATTAAGATTTTTAAGTTTTCCAATTATTATTCTCACACCTGAGAAGACAGATTTCTTAGACTGGATAATTAAGATTTTTAAGTTTTCTGTTTATCTTGCTAAAAAATATCATGTTATAAATAATGAACGGTGCAAAATTATAAAACCCTTTTGATGTCTTTTTTTGAAAAACCAGACATCATATTTCTTAAAACTTAATTGTTGATGCTGACCATATTTAATGGTCACATCTCTACACTATACATATTTCCCTAACTGTCACATTTTAACTTTTCATATACATTACTATGTACGAGTATTCAATGTGTCAGTTTATTTTCCCCCAAGAGCCATTATTAAATCAATATTGCATCTTACATGATATCCTAGAATCAAGCAACAGGCTCTGAGACAATTGTCTGCTTTCTGAATATAAAAACCTATTTGTAAACACAGATCCACTATAGATCTTGCACTGAAAAAGTTCTTAGACAGTGACAGTTCATCACTCAATGCACCTATATTAAGTAATTCATCAGACATTTCTATCAAAATTTAAAAGTATAGATTCTTTTGTCTTTAAAGAATTTATGTATTTCCTTCTATGAATAATGAAAATTATATAATTTACCCCATTTTTCCTCTTTGCCAGGTGACTGTCAGAAGATTCAAAGATAAATCTACAACCTGTCATAATAATTTATTGATTCAAATCAGTGGTATTAAACGTACACTTCAATTTCAAGTTCTTTTGACAAAGCTGCCCAAAATCTTTGAGTGAACAATTAAATGAACAATCTTAGACAAGGAAATTCTAACTCAATATCACTGTAGTAATATCCTGGTAAGAAATTAAGATGAATACTCTTGGAAGCTAAATCGCTTCAGGTATACACTAATATGTTCTTTTTTCTTGCTTCTGGAGATAGCTACTAGTTTTAGCAGTCAATAATCCCTGTGACCAGGACATAACTGCCTTTTCTGAAAACCAGAGAAAAATTCACAAACTTTGTGACTGCCATTTGCTATTCAAAAGTCTGTTTTGCTTATTTCCAAGTTCAGAGATACTGTTTCAAATGGTAGAAGGTGGCCAAACTTGCCTTAATCCTAAGTGAGAAGTATAACTGTATTTTAAAATACTATCTTGCCCATTTTATCATTTTAAAGGTAAGTTTCACTTAAAAACTTCTTCTGAAGTAAAAGTATATAAAATGTTTGAAACTTTAAAATATTAAATCAACATGTAATTTAATAAGACAAAATACACAGAAAATCAATGAGTAAATGTTTAATATTTTGCTACTCTTTAGTAGCCACCTTGCATTTAGTAGTTGAAGAATTGATTAGAAATACTTGATGAGCTCTAACGAATCTATGTGTTAAGGAGCTAAATCCACACTACATATAGCTACTATATGGAAAAACTCTTACTTATGGTAGCTCAAACCATCTCACAATAATTTTTTTAACACGTTAGGCACCAAGCCTGTTTTGTCTTCCTTTCCGTTTCAGTCACCGGTGACTGCCATGGCGTTTAACATGTTAATTGTATAATATTTAAGTATTATTTCAGCAATTCATTCTGGCCAATATACATACAGACAGCATCTAATTTAAAGTGAATAACTGGCCCTGGTCAGTGTGGCTTAGTTGGTTGAGCACTATCCCATGCACCGAGATGTCCCTGGTTCCATTCCTGGTCAGGGCACATGCCCAGTAAGGGGCATGCAGGAGGCAGCTGATCCATATTTCTCTCTCTCCCTCTCCCATCCTCTTTCTCTAAAATCAATAAAAACATATTAAAAACATAAAATAACGTAAGTAATTGCCATTATCCTAGCCTGTGTGTGTGTGTATGAGCAATTTTAGTTAAACATCACTTGGAACTTGAGTTCAAAAGGTATTTTTTGTTTCTAATTATTAAAAAATAAGTTTATCAAGATTTTATTTAATAAGAAATAAAAGAAATGACAACACTAGCACAATACCCTGATCATAAATGTACCTTTAATTAAATATTTATTGTTGACTTGTAATACATTATCATTGCATGTACCTCATGAGCAGACATATTTTGTTTTTACAATTCTTCTAACATTCAATAAAGCTTAACCCCCTAAACTGCACAAACACAGATGCCTATGCACCTGGAGGACTGGACTTGTGTACTTTTTTAAGTATGAATAAAGCATATCACATAGTAAGAGAAAATTACTTACCTGAAACTTATCCTTTCAGAAGGTACACTGGGAAAATGGATTCTTTGAGCCCCTGTTTCACCTCCAAGTATGAGCTTTCTAGCTTTAAGAGCCATTGGCACTGCCCCTAGGACAGCACAAGCTTTGCAACTCCCCTAGTGAGTATGTCAGTAGTTTCTTCAGGTGCCTTCCCTCAGTTCTTTTCAAATTCAAAAGATGAGAGAAAAAATAACCCAAGAAAAAAATCCTGTAAAGCAGAAACCTTACTCTTTGAGAGAAGGAGGGTAGCTCATTTGTGAATCCATTCCAGAGCACGCTTTCTGAGAAAAAGAAATACAGGTAAGTAATTTTCCCATCTCCAAAGGTGACTGGTGATTAATGAGTGGATTCACAGAGTGTGGAGAATAAGCTCCAGGGATGTCTGTTTAACACACAACAATCAACTAATGAGGACAAACAGAACAATGAATGGTACAAAAATCAATACTACTTTTTAAGTACTTTGAAACAAAAAATAAAAAAAGTATCGAAAACCTCAATATTAAACTATAAACTGGATTGTGGAATTAAACAATGAGTTTGTAAAGATGATCTAAAAGCCCTCAAAAGATCAGTCAATAAGAGACTTTCAGACATATGTCTAGTAAAAATTATACTGTTATACATTCACTTAATCACTTTATGTTTATGTTAAAATGTCTTAAAATATTTTAGTTAACCCTCAGAACCTGTGTGGTAGATAAGGACCTAAAACTGGGGACATTCATAATTGAAATCATTATCAAAGAAAAAATGTATTTCACAAAGGAATTATATTCTGAGTAGCATCAAATAAGATAATCATTTTTATAAGCAACATACTATAGTCCTTTCATTATGAAATCTTAGTTATTATATAAAAGTATTAACCTTCTCTCAAACTTGCAAAAGATCAAAAATCTAAATATGTGAAATCTGTTATGTATAAATATCAAAGCTAGAGTAGGTACGTCAGGAATTAGCTAACTTACACCCAAACTAAATTAAATATTTGTAAAATAGTAATGCCCTCATAACCCAAGAGACTAACAGAAAGGAAGAAGAGTATGCATAAATAATCACTTTTTATACATATTAATGTACAAATATGAATAAAGATATACATATTTAGGAGAATACCATTTTTAATAGGTGTCACATATTTATGAAAAAGAAATTATGTAAACCTAGACAAATATAAGAAATTATATAAACGTAGACAAATAAAAATCCAAAATTGCTAAAGTGACAGAAGTAAACTTTATTCATATTTTAACAAAATAATATAATTTATCAGTAATATTTAACAAATAAATCTATTGAAAATTATTTGTATTTAAAACAATCATTAAAGGAAAATTAAATAAAAGCATGGATCCACTTTTAATAATCCATTTTTCTTAGTTCCAGTTTCACTTAGAAACTTCTTTAAAGTTAACTGAAGAGCTGCCCTAACCAGTTTGGCTCAGTGGATAGAGCTTCGGCCTGTGGACTGAAAGGTCCCAGGTTCGATTCCAGTCAAGGGCATGTACCTTGTTTGCGGGCACATCCCCAGTGGGGGGTGTGCAAAAGGCAGCTGATCGATCTCTCATCGATGTTCCTAACTCTCTATCCCTCCCCTTCCTCTCTGTAAAAAATCAATAAAATATATTTTTAAAAAAATAAAGTTAACTGAAAATTTTGTTAATGAAAGCTGGTAATAATCTAAATTTGGAAATAGATGCCGGACCAGAGTGACTCAGTGGTTGAGTGTTGACCTATGAACTAGGAGGTTATGGTTCGATTCCTGG